GAAGTTTGAATGGTACCTATAAATTGGATGGTGGTGTTGATTTCCTGATTAGATGATGTGTTCGTTTGCTGGGGCTGCTGTAACAAAGTTCCACAAACTAGGTGGCTTAAACGATAGAAGTTTGTTGTCTCACAGTTCTGAAGCCTCAAAGTCTGAAATCAAGGTGTCGGAAGGGTTGGTTCTCTCTGGGGGCTGTGAGAGAGAAGTCTATTCCATGTCTCCCCGGTAGCTTCTGGAGGTTTGCTGGCACTCTTTGGCGTTCCTTAGCTTGTAGACACGTCAACCCTATCTCTGCCTTCATGTTTACATAGCGTTCTCATTGTATGTGGGTCTGTGTCCAAATTTCCCCTTTGCGTAAGGACATCGGTCATATTGGATCAGGGGTCCACCCTACTGCAGGATGACCTCATCTTGATTTAACCAATTAATCTGCAACAACCCTATTTCCAAGTAAGGTCACATTCTGAGGTACTGGGGGGTTAAGACTGCAATATTTGAATTTTGGGGGGACACAATTCAACCCATAACAGATGGTCATATCGAGGTTGAGAGAGATGGAGCAAATAAAGTCAAATGTTGTCAAATGAGGAATCGAGGTGAAAAGGATATCAGAGTTATTCATACTCTTCTTGAATGTTTTCTGTAAGCTTGAAATTATTTCAAAAAAATTTTTAAATTCATTAAAGTGCTGGGTTTGTGTACTACACAAGATCTTGGTGCTGAATCTACCATGGCGAAGGAACTGTAAAGAGATGATAAAAGTGTTCAGGTAGCCTTATTGCAAACTTGCCTGAGACATAAGTGAGTGTATTAGAAATTAATAGGTTATGTTTCAATAGCACTTCATAATTTACAAAAAAATACTTCATGGGGCCCGATCTGTGGCGGAGTGGTTAAGTTCACACTCTCCGCTTTGGCGGCCCAGGGTTTCGCAGGTTTGGACCCTGGGCGTGGACGTGGCACCGCTCATCAAGCCATGCTGTGGTGGCATCCCACATGGCACAACTAGAAGGACCCACAGCTAAAAGTATACAACTATGTACTAGAGGGCTTTGGGGAGAAAAAGGAAAAATAAAATCTTTAAAAAAAAACCACTTTATTTCATTTGTCCTTCATAACAATTCTGTGAGGCAAGAAGATTTCTCAATTTTCTAAAAAACTAAAGAAAGTTCAGGTGACTTGCTTGGGGTCACACTCACATAACTGCTAAGAGATGAACTGAGGCATACTAAAAATTTTAAGAGTTTATTTGAACAAAAATCCATTCCAGTGGGGCAACACCAAAGTGGAAATGGTTACCAGCACTCCTCAGACATATTCCCTATACCGTACAGGGAAAGTGTGGAAGCAGAGAAAGGAAATTGCTTGGTCGGCTGTAGCTGAAAGCCTAGTCGGCTGTTTGTGATTGGCTGTCCTTAGCATTTTGATTCCATAACGTTGAGGCATTTACAGGTTTAGATTTTGGTTTGCTTTGGTAGGTCACTGTGGCCTTAGAGCAACCTCAGACTAATGGGCTCCTTGTTTAATTAATTTAACACAACTAAGCAGTGATTAGTTAGGATTCTGATCCAGGTTTTTTCACTCATAATGCAATCCCCTGTGACAGCAGCAAACGATAATATGAATTGACTCTAAACAAAACTGTGACATCATTTGTACCTTTTGGGGTAAACAAAGGTCTTCCCAAGTAAACAAGGTATTCCTATTAAGATCAAAGTGTAGTTTAGGTAAGAGACTCTAAAGGTTCCAGGTATGAGGCCCCCCCACCACACACGCCACTTCCTTCACTGTACCCCACCACCACCACCATTTATCCTGGGGCCCCAGGTCTACACATCGGCTTCAATTTCCTTCACAGCTGTAACCTTAAAAATAAAATAGCCAGGGCCCAGCCTGTGGCTGAGTGGTTAAGTTCATGAGCTCTACTTCAGCAGCCCGGGGTTCGCAGGTTCGGATCCTGGGCACAGACCTACACACAGCTCATCAAGCCATGCTGTGGTGGTGTCCCACATAGAGGAGCTAGAATGACCTACAACTAGGATATACAACTATGTACCGGGGCTTTGGGGAGAAAAAAGAAAAAAAAGAGGAAGATTGGCAACAGAAGTTAGCTCAGGGCTAATCTTAAAAAAAAAAAAAAAAAAACACCAGTTATTTTACCAGCAAAACCGTTTATTCGGAAATAGCCAAAGAATTGCAATTTGGGATGTGCATGTTGTGGCGGACCACAGGCAAATCCAACAAACAAGGCAGAGGAAAGCTATTTTATAGAGCAAAAGGAGGAAATTGGGAGGGGTTGCTTTGAAGGAAGGTCCATTGGAGAAAAGCAAGAGTTCAGGGCGGTGACAGCTTCTCACTTGCTGAGTTGCTGGGCAATTGATTTCTGTTTGGGATGCAATGTACATTTCTTCCTGTAACTGAAGATTCTTTCCTATTGACTTCTTTCTGTCGGGGTCTATAATTGATTATCTTTCTTGTAACTGAACTCGAATGACACTGTTGGGAGCTCCTCCTTCTGGCCTCCTGACTCCGTTTTAAATGAGGTTTCCCTTCATTAATTTTCACAGAGACCTTCAGGCCAGTGCCTGGGGAACAGGGTCAAGAAAAGGCCTTCAACCCTTGCCCCAGGGACAACCTCCTGGACATTTCCCGCCAGCAACTCTCAGACCAGAACGCCCGCCCCACCTCCCCAAGCCGCAAAACCTCACTCTTTGTTATTATGCCCCAACAGTTAAGTCCCAGCCACACGCTCTCCCCCTGCTGACCAATCACGGTCTTTCTCTTTTTAAAACCCTCCCGCTGGACTCTTGCGGTCCAATTATAACCTTCCTCTTGCCCTGCAGGGACCGGAAGTTAGAAAGAGAACTCTCTGGGTTCCAGTGCCCAAACTTTTGGGCCTGCAGACCCCAGGGAGAACCACGCCTGCGCGGACTGCAGGCGCCATGGCTCATCCTCATCCACCTTGGTTAAGAGAGCTGCTCCCCACCCCCTCACCCACTGTAAAGCTGGAAGGGGATTTAGATCCTTGACCGACAGCGGCTCACAGTAGCATATGAGGTCCGGTTGCTCATTCTCTATCTGTAGGGGCCCCAGACCTCGAACCTTGAGCCTAGAGACCCAGAATGACTTGAGCAGTTCCAGTTTGCATGTCTCTGTGTTGGGCCTTCAGTTTCCAAAACACAGACTTATAGGATGGTAAAGCTGGACAGACTGGGAATCATTTAGTCCAGACCATTCACATTGCACTGGATTGTTCCAAAAGCTCGGAGACTCTACTCTCCTTTTTCTCTCTTGCGTGGGGGAATTAGGGTCAAGCAGAGCAGGCGCAGGACTTGCTGCCACCACGACCCTTAATCCTGGCATTGCTGAGCAAGGGCTTCTATCCCAGACTCCCCGATCCAGCCAGCTGTCAGACTGTGGGTTAGGATGGCAGAGGAGGAGGGCAATGTGGACGAGGAGGATGTGTTCCTGGCATTTGCTCAGGGTCCCTCTCCTCCCAGGGGTCCCCTGCGTCGGGCCTTGGACAAGGGCTTCTTTATCTTTCTGGCCCTCAGCCTGACACTACTGATGCTAGAGGCTGTTTACAAGCTGCTGTGGCCGCTACAATGGGCAAAGTTTGGGGACTGGCTCCTGGGAACACCTCAGAAGGAGGAGGAGCTGGAATTGTGACCACCTTTCCTATAAACATCCTCTTTCCCTGCCAGAGGTGAGAGGGAGATGGGAGGACATGGGACTGTTGGGAGCTGCGGAGGGGACACTTGGAGAGCTTAGGTCAGCTGTCTTAAAATTTCTGCACCTATACCCTGGGAAATAATTTTGAAAAAGTTTGTAGTGCTTGTGTATTTTTAAGTAAGTGTCAAAAATTTTTCATCATCGGGGCTGGGCCGATGTCCGAGTGGTTGAGTTTGCACACTCTGCTTTGGCGGCCCAGGGGTTCACTGGTTCAAATCCTGGGCTCCGACGTGGCACCGCTCATTGAGCCATGCTGGGGCGGCGTTTCACATGCCGCAACTAGAAGGACCCACAACTGAAAATACACAACCAAGTGCCGGGGGCTTTGGGGAGAAAAAGGAAAAATAAAATCTTTAAAAAAATTGTTTTCATCATAAATTAAAGTTGTTCCAAGGATGTAATTTCTGACATATTGAAAACATCTGTAATTTAAAATAAAACAATTAAACCCCCCTTTTGAATGTTCAGGAGAACTGAAATATCAGAGTGACTTGATACCCACCACCACTCATTTATTTATTTATTTTTTAGTTATTTTTTTTAAGGTATGCTTGTTTGGTGAAGAAGATTGGTGCTGAACTAACATCTGTTACCAATCTTCCTTTTTTTTTACTCCCCAAATGCACAGTTGTGTATCCTAATTGTAAGTCATTCTTGTTCTTCTGTGTGGGATGCCACCACAGCATGGCTTGATGAGCAGTGTGTAGGTCCGTGCCCAGGATCCGAACCAGCGAACCCCGCGCCGCCAAAGGGGAGTAGGCAAACTTAACCACTCGGCCATGGGGCCGGCCCGCACCCATTTAAAAATACAGAAATAAACTCAACAACTGGGAATCATTCTTTTTCTTTTTTCATCATTCACTTTTCTCCTTGAACTCCTATTACCACTCTACTTCCCCACAGACAATTTTACGCTTTTATCTTGAAAGTCTTTTATTGACCAATCTATCACACTTTCCTATATATATATGTGTATATATATATATATATATACTAATTGAAATGAAAAAAATGTTTCCTTCTTGCAACCATAAGACTCTAGTTTTAAAAAAAAATTTCTTCTAGGTTATCATTACAATTATTATGAGAACAGAACTGATCAAATAGCATAAAGATTGTACACATTTCTATAACTGTTAAAAATAAAAAGTACATTTTTTTTAGATTTTATTTTTTTCCTTTTTCTCCCCAAAGCCCCCCGGTACTTAGTTGTATGTTCTTAGTTGTGGGTCCTTCTAGTTGTGGCATGTGGGATGCTGCCTCAGCGTGGCTCGATGAGCAGTGCCATGTCCACGCCCAGGATTGGAACCGACGAAACACTGGGCCGCCTGCAGCAGAGCGTACGAACTCAACCACTTGGCCACGGGGCCAGCCCCCCAAAAAGTACATTTTTAATGAGATAATTGAAGTGGTGTTTATGGTGCCTTGATGAAAGAAATAGACTACATCTCTCTTTATTTAAGACAAGGTAAATTTATCCCCAGGAGATTTCATGGTTGAGAACTATACTTTTTTTTTTTTTTTAAGGGGGAGAAAGTCTATTGTAAAAGGGAAAAGGGAAGAAGAACTTCTGCTGCTGGAGTTTACTGAGGAAGACCAATTCTGGGAAATTTGAGGATCTGGAAATTAAACCCCTTATATCTTCCAAGCCTGAATACCCTTTAGAGAGTTTTCAAGTTTCCCAATTTAAAGACTGTAGGCTTAGACGACTGGTGTGGGGTTCTTTAATAGAAGGGAGGGTTTGAGGTTCTGGGACTCTGAGGGCTTAGGGATGTAAGAGCCTCTGGGATCCTAGAAAGTGGCAAGATGCCCACCACTTATGGAATGTGCCAGGATGCAGGAGGTGGGAATCTCAGCAACTGGAACCGTGTTAACCTTTCCTGTTTCCCCATAAGCTCACCTTTGGACCCAGCCTTGCCTCTAGGAGTCCCTCCAGCCTTCCTAAAGCTGGGCGAGGTGGGGGTGCCGGCGAGGCAGGCGTCAAAGTGGGTTTCTTCTCTCTTCGTTCTTCCCTCAGCTCTCCCCGAGGAAGAGGAGGAGACGGGCCCCGAGGTATGTTACGAGCCTCATTTCGTCTCACAGCGGCAATTCGCACAGATCCTCCTCAAACCCCTCGCCCCATATCGCCTGGGCTCAGGTCCTGGAGCTCCTGGACAAAGTACAGCCCCCTGGTCATCACCGCCTGCGCCTCGGGGACCACCCTCGAGAAAAGGACAGAGAACCACCTACGTCCCACTGGCTTGGTTGGTCATTAGTTCTGTGGAGGAGCTTGAAAAGGCGCCAACAACAATAGCAATAATAATACCACCACACTTGTACAGCGCGTTGTGCTCATTTGTATGCATGTGTTGTGATTTCACGATTGGGAGATGTAGGAATCTGGACGTCGAAGTCGCTGCTGGACAGCGGCACGGGAGCTCGCAGCCCGTAGCACGCAAGGGCCTGGCACGGTCGGTTAAGCCGTGGAAACGGGTACCTGGCAGGTAGGAAAGCAGCGCCGGAAGGCTTGTTAATAGCCTAGCGGAAGGAAAAGGTTATATTTCCCTCTTAAGAAACTCCTGCCCTTCCGTGTACCCCTGCGCAGCCGTGGAGGGCCCAATCCTTAGCTGTCCTGTTCCGTTCCCCTCCCCTGCTTGCAAACGGGGCTCAGTCCACCCGCACGCGACTCGCCGGCGGCCGGGCCGGATGCGGGAAGTTCCTGACTGGCGGAGTCGCAGAAGCACCGGGAGAAAAGAGCTCCACTGGCGGAGCGCCCGAGTGCCAGCTTAGCCAACGCCGTACAGCAAGATGGCGCCCCCCAGGTACAGTGGGGGCTCCCTGCGAGGACCAACCGCCCCCTACAGGTCAGGGGAAGGGAGCTGCAGACTGGGTGGGCGGCACGGGAGGTGCCCGGGGGCGGGCCTACCGTCACTTCCGGCCACGGGGGCCGGAGAAACCGTGTTCCGTACGACAACATGGCCGCGCTCAGGTACCTGTAGGCGGAAACTCTGCGACTTCCGGTCCAGAGTAGGGCCTGCGGTGGGAGGAGGAAGGCGGAGGGAACCATGCGAGGTTGTGAGATCAGCGGCGAGGGTCGCCTCGAGAGACCGTTACTGAGGTGGGGGCCGGACGGTGCGGGGAGCGAAGGCAGGGGCGGGAATGTCGAGGGAGAGGTACTGGGGAGTCCCGGGCGCTGAGTCTGAGGGGCAAGCTGTGGTACCTTCCTTCCTGTCCCTGAAGGGGAGTGGGGCGGCGAGGGGCTGAACTGGGGGAGGGGGACTTGGCGGGAAGCTCACCCAGGGGAAGGGGCCGGACTCAGGGTTGGGATCCAAGAGGAATCGGGAGAGCCCAGCGCGGTGCTTACGATCGGTTACAGGTCACAGAGAGAGAATGGGGAAAATTTGGGTGGGGTGAAAGGGAGGGGACTTGGGGTGAAATATTTCCAACCTAACGCCCCGGTTTGAGGAGACCCATCAAAGGGTAGAATATGGAGATAATCCAGGTAAGAGAAAGGGGAGTGGTTTTTGGGAGGGAACCTCCTTCTCCTGAGAGACAGTCTAGGAGTTGGGGTGATCCTTCAGGATGGGGTGAGGGTATGAATTTGACGTGTCTGAGAGCGAAAGGGGGAAAACACGTGAGTGGTGCCGACGGGGGTGTGGTATCTGTGCTAGGGGATGTCAGGGAAATCTGGAGTGCAGTGTGGGAGGTGGTCCAGGGGTTGGCAGGAATCAACTTGCCAACTATGAGAAATAATGGGAAAACACAACAGAAAGACCGGATATCGACTTGAGGGGTGGAGCTGGGAGTGAGAACTCAAGGTTTTCAGGCGGTTTGGGGCTCCCATAGTAAAGGGCTGAAAAGTACATGGTACTAATGCTTCCTGAAGATAGGCAGTGAGGACACTGTTGGGCAGGGCTGGGTGTTACTGAAACCCAAGAAGACTGGAAAATGTGTGAGATGAAGGGATGGGGCTATGCTGGCGGGGCTCTTTCTGAGGCCCCATCCCCTTCCAGCAGGAATTCCGAAATCCCCAACACTTCCTCCCTCCTGGGGATTTGATCCCCCATGGCCACCGCTAACAGCATCATCGTGCTGGATGATGATGACGAAGATGAAGCAGCTGCTCAGCCAGGGCCCTCCCACCCACCCCCCAATCCGGCCTCACCCCAGGCAGAAGCCCCTGGCTCCTCTCAGCCCCGTAGGGCCAGAGGAAGCAGTAGTTCGGGCGGCAAGAAATGCTACAAGTTGGAGAATGAGAAGCTGTTTGAAGAGGTGAGCTTTAGGGGAGAAGATTCTTCTTGTACCCCAGGGAGGGGGATGGCTGACTGGCTCTCCTGTCCGTTCTTCCCCACTAACCTTCTTTCTCTCAACTCCCTCCCTTGTCTCTTTCCCCCTCCCTTCTTCCCCTGAACCCTCTAGTTCCTTGAACTGTGTAAGACGCAGACGGCAGACCACCCTGAGGTGGTCCCATTCCTCTATAACCGGCAGCAGCGGGCCCACTCTCTGTTTCTGGCCTCAGCGGAGTTCTGCAACATCCTCTCTCGGGTGCTGTCCCGGGCCCGGAGCCGGCCAGCTAAGCTCTATGTCTACATTAATGAGCTCTGCACTGTTCTCAAGGCCCACTCAGCCAAGAAGAAGGTGAACCTGGCCCCGGCTGCCACCACCTCTAGTGAGCCCTCTGGGAATAGCCCTCCCACAGACCCCTCCTTGGACTCCACAAATGCTGAGACGGCTGCCACTGAGGCCCCAAGGACCCGTGGTTCCCGGCGGCAGATCCAGCGTTTGGAGCAGCTGCTAGCGCTCTATGTGGCAGAAATCCGGCGGCTGCAGGAAAAGGAGCTGGATCTCTCAGAATTGGACGACCCCGACTCCACGTACCTGCAGGAGGCGAGGTTGAAGCGGAAGCTGATCCGCCTCTTTGGGCGGCTGTGTGAGTTGAAAGACTGCTCTTCACTGACGGGCCGGGTCATAGAGCAGCGCATCCCCTACCGGGGCACCCGCTACCCAGAGGTTAACAGGCGCATCGAGCGGCTCATCAACAAGCCAGGGCCTGATACCTTCCCTGACTATGGAGATGTGCTGCGGGCCGTGGAGAAGGCAGCTGCTCGGCACAGCCTTGGCCTCCCCCGACAGCAGCTCCAGCTCATGGCTCAGGATGCCTTCCGAGATGTGGGCATCAGGTTACAGGAGCGACGCCACCTCGATCTCATCTACAACTTTGGCTGTCACCTCACCGATGACTATAGGCCAGGTAGGGATTAGTGAGATACCCGTCAGTAGCCCTTATATGGCAGGTATGTGCTGGAGGGGGCCTCTCTCTAGTTCCTTCTACGATTTTGGCTGAGTACTCTGACTGTATATCTTCCCACGTAGGCACTGACCCTGCACTGTCAGATCCCACTCTAGCCCGGCGCCTACGGGAAAACCGGAGCTTGGCTATGAGCCGGCTGGACGAGGTCATCTCCAAATATGCAGTGATGCAAGACAAGAGTGAGGAGGGCGAGAGACAGAAGAGAAGAGCCCGGCTCCCCCAGGCCACCTCTTCCCACCCTGCAGACTCCCCCAAAGCCTCCTTGGATTCTGGTGAGGTATGGAAGGGATACACCCTTCAGAGAAACCTTGTCCTTCCCCTGCACTGGCCAGCAGGGAGTCCAGGGTGACTGACGGGGGAGTGTGCAGAAGGAACGCAAGAACCAGACCCTCTGGGGCAAGGGAGTCCTTAGAGAAACTCCTTTGTCTCCCAGGGCCCTAGTGGAATGGCATCCCAGGAGTGCCCTACCACCTCCAAGGTTGAGACAGATGATGAAGAAGATGAGGAAAGTGATGAGGAAGAGGAAGAAGAGGAGGAGGAGGAAGACGAGGAGGAGGACGACGACGAGGAGGAGGACGACGACGAGGAGGCCACAGATTCCGAAGAAGAGGAGGATCTGGAACAGATGCAGGAAGGTCAGGACGATGAAGAGGAGGAGGAGGAAGAAGGTATGTCAAGACAACAGGCTCCTCATATGTCACTTCCCTCAACTCTGGGTGGGCGTGAGCCACCTGTTTGAGACCCCGCCCGTCCTCCTCTTAGTCCTAGTGTCCTCTCAGTAGTATTCTTTCTCCTAGTTCTCATGCTCCCTCTCCCCTCTTTTCTTCTTTTCCAGGTAAGGATGGAGACAAGAGCCCCATGTCCCCACCACAGATCTCCACTGAAAAGAACCTGGAACCTAGCAAAGGCATCAACAGGTCTTCAGGGGAAGAGCAAAACAAAGAACTCAGAGGGTCACCATCGTCACTGTCAGAAGAACCCCTGGCCCCCTCCAGCATAGATGCTGAAAGCAATGGAGAACGCCTGGAGGAGTTGCCCCTGGACGAGGAGAGCCCTGTGTCTCAGCTCTTTGAGCTAGAGATTGAAGCCTTGCCCCTGGATACCAACCCTTCCCCCGAGGAGAGGGACGTTTCCTCTTCCAGGAAGCAATCAAAGGACCCGCTCACCACTGTTTTGGAGAATGGAGCAGCCATGGTCACCTCTACTTCCTTCAATGGAGGTGTCTCTCCTCACACCCGGGGAGATTCCAGTCCTCCCTGCAAGAAATCTCGGAAGGAGAAGCAAACAGGAGCAGGGCCATTAGAAAACAGGTAACGACAAAGAGGAGGAAGAGGGAAGCCAAGGAGGGACTGTGGGGGTTTTCTGAGCCTGTTGTGGAACTGAGCCTGTGGGCAGAGACTGGACACTCCCCCTCCGGCCTCAGGCCCCTCCTGTAGCCCCACACTTTTATGTTTCTGTCCCTAGCTATGTGGAAAGGCAAAGGGCAGTGCACGAGAAGAATGACAAGAAGATCTGTGCCCTGCCCAGCCCACCTTCCCCCTTGGCTTCCATGGCCCCAGTTGCTGATTCCTCCACGAGGGTGGACTCTCCTAGCCATGGCCTGGTGACCAGCTCCCTCTGTAGCCCATCTCCAGCCCGGTTGTCCCAAACCCCACAATCACAACCCTCCCAGCCTGGTACTTACAAGGTAAGGAGGGGAAGCTGTTTTCCTGACTTCATTCTCTTTCACAGTTGCAGGCGCTCTGTCTGAATATTTGACCCGCCACACCCTCTCTCTCTTTTTTTTTTCCCACCCCACTTTTTAATCTCTGATAAATCCTTCTCTCCCTCTATTCCAGACCTCTCTGACTCTTTGTCTCTCACTCCCCTGCAGATGAGTGTGGCCACACAGTGCGATCCAGAGGAGATCATCGTGCTCTCAGACTCTGATTAGCTGCCTCCCCCTGCTCCCTGCCTCCAAAACGTTTTGGGGAGAGTATTTGGAGGATGGTGGGAAGCAGATGACTGAGGAAAGGATGAACTGAGCTAATCCCCTTTTGGTGGTTTCTTTTAAAAAAAAAAAAAAGCTTAAGTTTTACACAGAAACATTAATAAACAATAAAGTTCTTTTCTTATTGTATCTCTGTCTTTTCCTTATTCTTCTGCTCTCACCGATTGGCACCACCTGCTCTCTGGCTCGGGGTTAGCCCGCCCCCGGGTAGCCCTGGACCTGTCCTTCTAGCCTGGCCTTAGCACGCCTCTCTGGGAGTAGCCTCGCTCTCGGGATTTCCCCTTGTCCTCTCCCAGGCATTAAAAAATGTGCTTCAGCCTCTTGAACGCGCCTTACTTTCTCACTTGGAGCGGTAGGAGTAAAAAAGCCAATCAGGGGCAGATTCAAGGTTATTTGGCCAATCCGGGCCCGGAGGAAGGGGGCGGGATTTCAGGGGGACTGTCAAGCTGGGAGACCAGGGCGATTAGCTCCCGCAAACCCTCTAATGGCCACAGCTCAGGGGCGGAGCCTAGGCAGCGATGGCCCTGACCCATCGCCGATGGGAAGAGGCAGGCTTACAGAATTAAAGGGGAATGAGTGCTTCGGCCGAACCAAATCCTGAGTCCTTAGCGGCGGAAAGGACCTGGTACCTTTAAGGGGGAATGAGGCGACAGTTCTTTAAAGGAGAAGCGGCCGAGTCGGCCGAGTATTGCCCAGCGGCACGGGCGGGGTGCTCGCCTGTGCCTTTAAAGCCGGAGGGGCGGGAGGCGGAGCGGAGGCGGAGGGCGGAGGGAGTCGGCGCAAGATGGCGGCGGGAGGGGCCCAGGCTGCGGCTCTGGCCGCCAAGTGAGGGGCGGGGGGGCCCGGGGGCGCGCGGCCCGGTAAGCGGGGACGCGCGGGGTTGGGGGTCGCCTTCCGGGTGGGAGAGGAGGTCAAAGTAGCGCTTGGGGCGGAGCAGAGGGGGGCGGGGTCCGGTGTGGGCGGGGGTAGGCAAGGGGCGGAGCCGAAGGGGCCGCGGAGGCGGGTCTTGAAAGGGGCGGGGCCGAAGGGATCACGGGGCGGGTCTTGAAAGGGGCGGGGCCAGGGATAAGAGGGGGGCAAAGGGGCGTGGCCCGCGAAAGAGCGGGGGGGGGGGGGGGGGGGTGTATGGCCTAAGGGGAAATGAAGAGAGGGATGGGTTTCAGTATAGGAGCAGACCTGTCCTCCTCCTAAAAAAAAGGGTGGAAAACACTAAAAAGGTAAATTTTGGAAAGTCGGGCTCAGGGAAGTGGGAAATTCCAAGGGGAGGTATCCCACTCCACAAGAGCACCTTATGTTTCTAACCTCCAAGGAAAGAACACTGGATTTGGAGTCAGTACGCCTGAGTTTATGGGCGTTACCACTTACTGGCTGTGTGACCTCGGATAATCTCTTAATCTTTTTGAGCCTCAGTTTCCTCATCTGTCAAATGGGGTTGAGAGGACTACCTACCTCACAGTGTTGTGGAGAGTTACTCAGATAGCGGGTGTGACGTGTTTTCAAACTGTAAAGAGCTATGTCATTGTGAGATATTATCATTCTTCTCTTTTTTTCTTCCCAGAGACCCCCCCGGCCGCCCTCCTTCTTCCTTGTTCCTGTGGCTGGGGGGGTACCCCCTCCCTCCACACCATGGAGCCATCTCCTCTGTCTCCCAGCGGCACAGCGCTCCCCCTGCCTCTATCGCTGGCCCCGCCCCCACTGCCCCTGCCTGCAGCGGCAGTGGTCCACGTATCCTTCCCCGAGGTGACCAGTGCCCTCCTCGAGTCCCTCAATCAGCAGCGGCTGCAGGGCCAGCTCTGTGATGTGTCCATCCGGGTGCAGGGACGAGAGTTCAGGGCTCATCGTGCTGTCCTGGCTGCCTCCTCCCCTTACTTCCACGACCAGGTCCTACTCAAGGGCATGACCTCCATCTCGCTGCCCAGTGTCATGGACCCAGGCGCTTTTGAGACTGTCTTGGCTTCGGCTTACACTGGCCGCCTCAGCATGGCTGCTGCTGACATTGTCAACTTCCTCACAGTGGGATCTGTGCTCCAAATGTGGCACATCGTGGATAAGTGCACTGAACTCCTCCGCGAAGGCCGGGCCTCGGCCGCCACCGCCACCATCACCACTGCGGCAGCCACCTCAGTCACTGTCCCTGGTGCTGGGGTCCCGTCAGGGAGTGGGGGCACCATGGCCCCTGCCACCATGGGCTCCATGCGCTCCCATGCCTCCAGTCGGGCCAGTGAGAATCAGTCCCCCAGCAGCAGCAACTATTTCAGTCCCCGGGAGTCTACTGATTTCTCATCTTCCTCCCAAGAGGCATTTGCAGCTTCTGCAGTGGGCAGCGGGGAGCGTCGAGGAGGTGGCCCTGTATTCCCAGCCCCTGCGGTTGGCAGCGGGGCTGCTACTTCTGGGAAGCTGCTACTGGAGGCAGATGAGCTTTGTGATGACGGTGGGGATGGGAGGGGTGCAGTGGTCCCTGGGGCTGGGCTCCGGCGGCCCACGTACGCACCCCCCAGCATCATGCCACAGAAACACTGGGTATATGTGAAGCGAGGGGGAAACTGCCCAGCACCAGCGCCCCTGGTTCCCCAAGACCCAGAACTGGAAGAGGATGAGGAGGAGGAAGACTTGGTGTTGACCTGTGAGGATGATGAAGATGAAGAGATGGGGGGTGGCTCTGGGGTTCCAGCAAGGGGAGGACCTGAGGCTACCCTTAGCATAAGTGATGTCCGGACCCTGACTGAGCCTCCGGAAAAGGGAGAGGAGCAGGTCAATTTCTGTGAGTCCTCCAATGACTTTGGCCCCTATGAGGGTGGGGGTCCTGGGGCAGGGCTTGATGATTCAGGGGGGCCAACCCCTTCCTCCTATGCCCCTTCCCACCCTCCGAGGCCCCTGCTTCCCCTCGACATGCAGGGCAACCAGATCCTAGTCTTCCCATCGTCTTCATCCTCCTCCTCCTCACAGGCTCCAGGCCAGCCACCAGGGAACCAAGCTGAACACGGGGCAGTGACCCTGGGGGGTACGTCGGCAGGAGGCCTGGGCGTGCCAAGTGGCGCTGGTGGGACCACTGGAGGGACGGGCAGCGGGGATGGGAATAAGATCTTTCTGTGCCACTGCGGGAAGGCCTTCTCCCACAAGAGCATGCGCGATCGGCATGTGAACATGCACCTCAACCTGCGGCCCTTTGACTGCCCCGTGTGCAACAAGAAGTTCAAGATGAAGCACCATCTGACCGAGCACATGAAGACACACACCGGCCTCAAGCCCTACGAGTGCGGCGTCTGCGCCAAGAAGTTCATGTGGCGAGATAGCTTCATGCGCCACCGGGGACACTGTGAGCGCAGGCACCGCCTGGGTGGGGGCGGGGCCGGACCTGGACCCGGGGGGCCCTCGGGACCAGCCTTGCCGCCCAAAAGAGAGTCCCCCGGGGTGGGCGGGGCCAGCGGCGACGAGGCGAGTGGGGCCACGCCCCCGTCCAACCGACGGGTCTGGTCCCCACCCAGCGTCCACAAGGTAGAGATGGGCTTCAGTGGGGGCGGAGGAGCAAACTGACCCAGCAGGCTGCTTGCGGGTAGCTTTCGGGGAAGAGGGAATAGGGATCATGAGCCAGGGGGCGCTGTGGCCCCCAGGTGATCTCTCACCACGCTGTCTTCCTTATCTCTATGGACTTGTATATATTCTGCAAGGGGGAACCACGTTGCACCATCGGCCACCCATTCCACTCCTCAGCCCCTCCTCCCCAAAGTATCCCCGGAACTAAGCCCTCTCTTTCCCTCAGAAGGGTACACTGAAGCCCCAGCTCCAGAGTAGGGCGCATACGGTGGGTGGGTGGGTGGTGGGAGAGGGGGCCTGCTGAGCATCCTGGAGTCACAGGGTCAAGAGTCAGGTGGTTATAGTCTGTACCTAAAGTCTGTGTTTGTATCGTTGTGGGGACCAGGCCTTTGAGCCCCACCCTTGTCCTAGAGCCCACCCCAGTCCCCAAAGGATGTGCCCCTTGTTTCTACCCTAATCCGTCCCCTCCACCTTGGGATCTCCCAACTAGATTCTCACTGGGGAGGGAGTGGAGACAAGGAGGGAGTAAATTGTAGTACAAGGTTTTTATTTTAAATCTTATTTTTTTTAAACGGTCATTAAAATATTTATTGGTCATTTCACTTGGCTTCCCGACAACCCGTATGTGTTTGCTGAGGACCTAGCACGGGTGGGGGAAGGCGGGGTAGTGGTTCTCCGCCAAGTGAATTCTGGGGGGAGACGACTGGGGCGCGGGGTGGAGGGGAGGGCCGGCCTATGATTGGGGAGGGCTCTGGGACTGGGCGGTGCTGGGTGGTCCAGGAGGGCAGGGCGGGGCTGGGGTTCCCAGACCTGAACTGAAGAGGATGTTCCGGGATCCCTACTCGGCTCATAGGGGAAACACCTGCCCCCACACGCGCCCTCACCTAACCAGAGCGGCGATTGCCTCCGCCCCTCCCGCTGGCCTTTAGAGTAAAGAGAAAGTGAAAGGGGAAGAGCAGGCTACGGGACTGAGGAGATCGCGGCGCCATGAAGCTCCTGTCCTTTCTCCTCGCTGTGGTTTTGGGTGAGCAAACGCCGCGACGCTTTGCCCAGGAACCGGGGGTGGGGGGCGGGGGAGCGGAGGGAGGTAACCCCGCCACATGCCTGACGCCGGGGAGGGGGCGGGGGGTGAGGTCGGGTCGTCTGACATCTTGGCCGCGCCCTCACTCGCGCGGCTGTTCCCCCCAGGCTTGGCGACCGCCGTCTCGGCGGGACCTGCGGTGATAGAGTGCTGGTTCGTGGAGGATGCGGGCGGGGGCCGCCTGGCCAAGAAACCCGCGGCACTGCTGCTGCGCCAGGGCCCGGGGGGACCACCTCCACGGCCAGACCTCGACCCCCAGCTCTACCTCAAAGTGCATGGTGAGTCATCCCGGACTCGCTCCCAACTCTGTCGCCTGCACCGAAACCCCGTCCTCTTTAGGTCGCGCAGTGACCTCGGGCCTCAGTTTCCCCCTCTGTAGAATGAGTCTCGTTATCTTCAAATTTCGCGCTACCGGGTAGTCTGTGCATTTGAAAATCCCTTTCCTGGCGGTGACTCTACAGCTGCAACTCCCTTCTCTCGCAGACCCCGCGGGTGCTCTCCAGACTGCCTTCAGGCGGTACCCCCCAGGCGCCCCCGCGCCGCACTGCGAGATGAGCCGCTATGTCCTGCTTCCCGCCTCGGTGAATTGGGCCAGCGGCTTGACGCCGGAGCAGAGCTGCCCGCGGGCCCTGGACGGGACTTGGCTCATGGTCAGCATATCCAGCCAGGTCCTCAGCCTCTCCGGCCTCCTGAGACCACAGTCCGAGCCTCAGCCGGAGCCCGCTCTCATCACCATGGCAACAGGTAGCTAGGGAGGGGAGGTGGAGTGAATGGGTAAATTCTAAGAGTCCAGATTAGCTGGTGACTCGCTATTTGGACTTGAGCGAGTCATTTCCCACATCGGATCTGTTTTCTTATTGTAAAGCGAGGCAGTTCGGCTGGAATTAAAAAATCTATCTTTACCGCTTCTTCTAGCTCCTGCCCAGTAAAAAACCCCCAAACCACCAAAAAAAACAAAACCCTGCTTTTGGGGGCGGGGCTTTGTGTAGGAAGGGCGGGGCTTTGGAGAGAGGCGGGGTTTCCTGACTCCAGACCTTAAGAAACTAGTCCGGCGACGGCGTGGGGAGGGGCTCAGAAGCAGGAACTTTTTTCTCCTCTCCTCCCAGATCTGTATGTTGCTAGACACCCCCACCTTTGTGGTTCACCCTGTTTCGAAAACCTGCCTTCGAGCCCCACCCGGCCGGTCCCGCGCTGCGGCGGTCAGCAAAGGAAAGGCTCTTGCGCTCAAGCGCGTTCACTTCCTCTGACAGCCCCTTTCCTACGGCGCGTGGGGATGCGCTGACTCTGTGGTCACCAAGTGGTGGGCTGGAGCGGGGGGAAGAGACACGGCGGGAGACTTGATGGTTCTCACTGCAAGGACCGCTTATTGCATCGTGCAACGCAGTGTGAGGCCCAGGGGTCAGGCACTTTGCTGGGCTGGGGCGCAGAGAGGGAATGGGCGGAAAAAGCAAGAACTGGGGAAGATACGACCGGGCTATCTAAGAGCTCTCCCTTCTCGCCGCGGAGGGTGGGTAGGATGTGAGTAGAGTCTTCGGCTTCCCTCAGTCTTGTGCGATTTTATGCAAAGGACACAGCCTGACCGGCAGCTCAATTCCAGCCAAGCCCTGCACCCTCCCTTCGGGAGCACCTCCCGCCACCCTCCTCTCTGAGAGAGAATCACCCACAGGACCAGGGAAACGGACTCAGCACCCACTCTGCAGCCTTCTCCTCTCTCTATGCCTCATTTTTAGTCCCCAGACCCCACCGTGGGGAGGGGCAGAGGCAAACTGCTCCTTGTGGGGACGGTGGCTCTCTCCAGCGGGAAGAGGTATTTCCCGGGCTGCTGGCGTCACCGGGGGTGGGGCTGGGGTGAGAATGTCCTTTTCTCTCTGACTCTGTTTTACTAAATGTAAAATGTAGATGCTGTTTCCCATCTTTCCGTTGTTGTGACTATCAAGGGAGACACTTTGTTAATTTATTCACCGATTCAATAAATATTTATTAGCACCCAGAATAAATTAAGGCCCGGTAGTTCTCAGTCCAGGCTGCAAACACGAATCCTCTTGAAGTTTGTAAAATATGCTAAAACCTGAGTCCCACTCCAGGAGAATTAAATGAGAATCTCTCCGTGGCCCTGGGCACTTTTAAGGGTCACAAGGGTGATTAGATGTAGATTCTGCTGTCACGAAGGCTCTAGGCAGATTTGTCATGGGTTATTGTAATGTAGATTAGGGAGCGACTTGGGCCTTGAAAGAAGTGAAGATAGGAAGCCATGGGAGTGCCCGGGGGAGATTATCTGTGTCTCACAGATGGCAGGGGTGGGGGGTAAAAAACTAAGCGCTGTGCTCAGGCTTCCTTTTCAAGCATTTCTGCTTGACTAGGGACTGATGAAAATAAAAGTTGTTGTTTTAATGTAAAATTAAAAATGGCGTCTTTCTGGGGCCACAGATCATTGATAACTTTGCTAATATAGGTTTATATATTATTTCTTATCAAATGAATTATCAAATACATTCAATTGTTTGTTGACAAAGATACTTTGTTAACATACTTTGTGTGTGATATTTAATTCTCATCATTCCTTTAAAACTTTGTTATGGAAAATTTCAAAGATACACAAAAGTGGAGAGAATCGTATAATGAACACCCATACACCCATCACCCACTTGTATAGTTATTACATTTCACCAAATTGTTTCATCTACCCTCCTCCCCACCTTCTTTTCTTTACTGAAGTGTTTTAGAGTATATCCCAGGCATCATATTCTTTTATTCATAAGTACTTCAATCTCTGTTAAATAAGGACCGTAAAAAAAATACAACCACAATACCGTCCTCATACCTAACAAAAAATAATTCTTAATATCATTTAATTCCTAGCCTATATTAGAATTTTCCCAATTGCCTCAATGATGTTATTTCACGATTGATTTGCTCAAATCAGGATCAAAAACAGGTTCAAATATTCTATTTGGTTGCTGTATCTGCTCGGGCTGCCATAACAAAATATCATAGACTAGCGGCTCAAACAACAGGAATTCATTTTCTCAGAGCCCTGGAGGCTGGTAGTCCAAGATCAAGGTGTTGGCAGGGTTGGTGTCTGGGAAGAACCCTCCCCTTCTGGTTGCAGATGGCTGCCTTCTGGCTGTGTCCTCACCTGGAGGAGAGAGAGAGAGCTCTCCTGTTTCTTCTTCTTCTTATAAGGGCAAAGCTCTATCAGATTAGGGCTCCACCTCATGACCTCATTTAATCTTTATCACCTCCTCACAGCCCCTATCTCCAAATATCGTCACATTGGGGTTTAAGTTTTTAACATATGAATTGGGGGCGAAGTCGGGGTGGGAAGTACATAACCGTTTTGTCTCTTAAGTCTCTTTTATAATTGCCCCCTTCCCTTTCGCCATTGATTGGTCATTTGTTCTGTAGAATTTCCCATATTCTGTATTTGGCCAATTGTTTCCTCCTTGTGTCATTTCCCACGTTCCTTTTTCCTCCATATTTCCTACAAATGGGTAGTTAGATCTAGAGGCTTGATTAGATTCGGGTTTAATTTTTTTTCGGTAATATTTTATAATAGTTGTTACCTTTCACTTTTTTAACAGAAAAGTAAAAACTTATATAATACAAGCAGCAAAAATAGGTAGAAATTTCCTCCCTGTTCTGGCCCTGTTGTATTTACATTGGTATTTTTACAGAGTCCAGTTTGTGGGATCTAGGTGTAAAATTGCTTCAATAGCCCATTAATATTAAGCACTGTTAGCTTAAGGGTTAAATTGTAAAACCTTTAGGTTTTGTGTGTTAATCCTATGGGTTGCTTTTGCCAAGTCAAAGGTATGTTTCTGGATTTTGATAAACTAAATGAAATTGCCTTGAATGAAAGCAATCCCATGAGGTTGAGAGAAGTTTAGCCTTGTAGGCCTCAGAAGCTAGGATTTAAAATTACGTAAAATAATCACAAGAGAAAAAACGATTACTTCTACCTGGAGGACCCAGACATTTCTAGGAGGAAGTAACTTGCTGGACAAGGAGTATTTAGATGTTTGGGAGAAAATGGGGAGGGACTTTGTAAACTCAAAGGAATCTTATGACCAAAGCAAAGAAATGCCCAATGATTAGAGTTTCTACTGGTTACAAGAAAGGGATTCTATGGGGCTGGTTCTTAGGGTGCAAGAGAAGTCTGGAAAGGTGGGTTGGGGGCTGGATTATCAAATGCCCTGAAAACTGGGCTTTACAGCTGATAGTGAACCATCAGGAGTTTTTGTGTGTGTGTGTGCCAAAAGCCTGTTGTTTTACTTGATTCTTACAAAAGGTAGGCAAGGGTCAGATCATTGGAGTAGTGGGGAAAATACAGATTAAATGATTTTCCCAAGATATGCAGCAAGTCTGTGATGATGATGATGATAGTAGTGAAAATAGTTATAGCTAACATTTATCGAGCATTTTCTGTTCTAAGCACTTAATAGGCACAGTCCCATTTACTCCTTTCAACAACCATAGGAACTAGGTACTGATATTATCCCCAGGTCACAGATGAAGAACTCTGAGACGCAGAGCAATGAGGTAACTTGCCCAAGTACCCACAGCTTGTAAGAACCAGGGCTAGGAATGGAACCTGGTCCATCTCGCTCCAGCCTGTGCCTTTAGTTGCTGGCTTCCTGGGTAGCTGGGATATTTAAGCAGGCAAGTGACCAGATCAGACTTGTAGCCACACTGTTTGGCCACAGTGTGGAGGACGAATTGAAGGAGAGAGAGAGACGAGGATGGGGAGACCAGAGGGGAAACTGTTGTAATTATCCAAATGTATGTTGATGAGAACTCGAGTTGGAAACAGATGTGAGATGTATTTGGCAGATAGAATTAGGACCCAGTGGGGACAGCACATAGCACATTATATTTGGCAATTTGCTCATCTGTCTCCCTTATTAGACTGTAAGCATTTTGAGGGCAGGGACTACCTCTCTTGTTTACCACTTTGTCTTCTACGTTGAGTATACTAGGTGCTCAATAAATATTAGTTGAATGAATGAACTAGACGAAGGAGTCTGAGTGACTCCCAAGTGTTTGCCTTTAGTGTCCGGGGGTGGGGCTGGTGGTGATCATTCATCAAGGCAGGGAAGATGGGTATGGGGGTGGGGGGTTGTTGCAGAGATGCTATTGAGTTGCGGCATGTTAAATTTGTCTGGCAGACAGTTAAGTGTAATCACAGCAAACACTTTGTAGATTTACTGTGTCCTGGGCACCGTTCTAAGCACCTTTCATATATAAGTACCTTTGTTATCCAGATTCAGGAACTGAATAAATCTCGGTAGCAAGAGGTATTAAATGATTTAACCCTCACTACAACTTAGGTACTGTATCATCATTATTATCCCTATTTAGGAGATTAGGAAGCTGAGCCATGGAAAAGCAAAGTAACTGGCCCAAGGCCATATAAACAGCTGCAGCTGGGGATTAACCAGGGCAGCCAGGCTCCAGGCACTTAACCAGCTTACACTGCCTCAGTAGAGCATAGAGGCCTGTGTTCAGGTTTAGGCTAGAGCCAGAACCTTCCAGAGTCAGTAAGTACTCTGTGCAGCACCATAGGATTGACCGGCATGAGTCACCACTGTCTTCACCAGCAAACAAAGAAAGTCTTGGCTCTTCAAGAGTGCTGCATGGTGGGGGCCAGCCCGTGGCAAGTGGTTAAGTTCTTGTGCTCTGCTTCAGTGGGCTGGGGTTCGCCAGTTCGGATCCTGGGCATGGACCTACACACCTCTCATCAAGCCATGCTGTGGGGCTTTGGGGAGGAAAAAAAAAAGAGGAGGATTGGCAACAGATGTAACTCAGGGCCACTCTTCAAAAAAAATCATTTAAAAAAAAAAAAGAGTGGTGCATGGAGACTAGACTGGTTCAGGTTGTGTCAGAACTGCACCTGGATCCCCCTGTCCCCAGAGCTCCAGGGGTCTATGTGTTCAGAGCAGCCTTCAAGGGCCACGCCCACTCACTGTCCCCTTCATCTCTAGACCTCTCTGCTCACTCTCAGCCACATTGGGTCCCACCTAGTCCCAGAGCAAAGGGGGTTTGCAAGGAGGGCCAGGAGACGGTGAGTATCAGAAAAGGAGGTGTCCTCTGAGGGGTGGGGAGTTGAGTCCTTCCGATAACTCCATTTCTCTATTTTTTTCTCCTTCTTTCTCTCCCTCATGCCCCTCCCACTCCTTCGTCTCTCTCCCCATTTTCCCCAGCTGTGCTGACTGTCTTCACCCACACCCCCAGCCCTCGAATCCGACTGGGAGAAGATGCTCTGCTGGACTTGAGCTTTGCCTACGTGCCCCCCACCCCTGTGGCCGCTACATCTCTGGCCCCAGGTCCCCCTCCCTTTGGGCTGGAGTGGCGACGCCAGCACCTGGGTAAGGGGCACCTGGTCCTCGCTGCAACTCCTGGGCTAGCTGCGCAAATGCCAGCTGCCCAAGATGGGGCAGTGGTGTTTGCTGCTTGGGATGATGACGAGCCGTGGGGTCCATGGACTGGAAATGGGACCCTCTGGCTACCGGCTGTGCAGCCCTTCCAGGAGGGCACCTATCTGGCCACCGTACACCTGCCATACCTGCAAGGGCAGGTTACCCTGGAGCTCGCTGTGCAGAGTGAGTTGGGGAACAGGGGTTCCCACTGGTAGAGGGTAGGCACTGGGATTATGGGGCCACCATGATGGGGGAGGGATGGTGAAGAGTGTGGGGAGATAGATTGGGGTCCCTGGGAATCAGAGGGTCTTTGGGATGAAGGTTTCCGAATCTGAGGGAATAGGGGTCCCTGAGAATGGGGGCTTTGGCATGGGGATTCCTGTGAAGCACCAGTGGGGAGTCAGTGGTTTCTGCGTCCTGGAAGAAAATATCCAAACGTCCCTCAGTTTGGGGGAAGCCAGAGGGCAAACTGAGAGTCTCTGAGAAAGGACAATGTGGTTTGATTCCCCCCTTGCTCCTTTCCTGCTCTCTCCCCAGAGCCCCCCAAGGTGTCCCTGATGCCAGCACCTGTTGTATGGGCTGCCCCCGGGGAGGCACCTCCGGAGTTGCTCTGCCTCGTGTCCCACTTCTACCCCCCGGAAGGCCTGGAGGTGGAATGGGAGCTCCGGGGCGGCCCAGAGGGCGGTTTTCAGAAAGCCAAGGGACAGACTTGGCTCTCGGCCCTGCGCCACCACTCGGATGGCTCTGTCAGCCTCTCTGGGCACCTGCAGCCGCCCCCGGTCACCGCCGAGCAGCATGGGGCGCGCTATGCCTGTCGTGTCCACCACACCAGCCTGCCCGCCTTGGGACGCAGCGCCGAGGTCACCCTGGAGGTGGCGGGTAAGAGCCAGGAGGATCGAGACGCCGGGGGCGGGCGATGGGGGAGATACTATGAAACTCACCCTCGTCGCTCCTTCTGCCTGCCAGGTCTCTCCCGGCCCTCCTTGGAGGACGGCATAGGCCTCTTCCTGTCTGCCTTTCTCCTCCTTGGCCTCATCAAGGTGCTGTGCTGGGCCGGTGAGTGTGAGCCCCACCCCGACAGGGACCCTCTACTGACTGGCCGACACTCCCTGCCTGCTCCCAGAAGCCTGACCCTCACCCCTCTGCCCTACCATATAACATAACATCCCTTCTCAATAACATAACATCCCTTCTCATTCTCTCTCCACAGCTGCCTACTGGTCCACTTCCAAGGATTCAGAGGAGAAGGTAACAGCGCTCCACCTTCCCTTCCCTTTCCCATCTCATTTGATCCCCTCCTCCCAACTTCTCACCCACGGAGGGAGGCTGCTGGCATCAGTGGGCAGAACCCGGACTTGGAATTCACACAGACCTGGGTTAAGTCCTGCCACTACCATTGTAACTGTAGGAGCCCTTGAACTTTACTTCACCAACACCTCAGCTGCTTTGGGTGCAGGGATAAAAAAAATTACTTAGGCAGTGGTGTCCCACAGAAATATAATGCAAGCCACATATGTGAATTTAAATCTAAAAATGTAAAAAGAAACAGATAAAATTAATTTTAATAATACACTTTATTTCATCTACTATATCAAAAATATTATCATTTCACATATAATCAATATAAGAAATTATAGTCTTTTATTCCATTCTAAGTCTTCAAAACCAGGTGTTTATTTTTTGTGAGGAAGATTGGCCCTGAACTAACATTTGTTGCCAATCTTCCTCTTTTTGCTTGAGGAAGATTGTCGCTGAGCTAACATCTGTGCCAGTCTTCTATTTTATGTGGGACGCCACCACAGGATGGCTTGACAGTCGGTGCTAGGTCTGCACCCAGGATCTGAACCTGCCAACCCCCAGCCGCAGACACTGAGCCTGTGAACTTAACCAAGTCACCAGGCAAGCCCCAAAAGCCAGGCAGAAAACACACAGGAAATGTGAGCCCCATTCTTCTCCCACTCTCTGTGCCCATGATGGTTCATTTATCTCTGGACTGACCATGAGAACTTCACCCTGCTTTATAAAACCCAGAATTCCTCACCTCTTTTTTTACTTCTCTTCCAGAAAGCCCAGTGAGAGCCCTCACCACCATCCTGGGGAAGCCACCATCATCTCTGGTCTGAGCTACTGTAGTAGCTCTCCCAAATACTGTGCCATCGTCTGCTCCTGCTCCCTCCAATCTCCTTCCATTGCGTGGCTGGAATGCTTTTTTTTCTTTTTCTTCTTCTCCCCAAAGCCCCCCAGTACATAGTTGTATATTCCAGTTGTAGGTCCTTCTAGTTCTGCTGTGTGGGATGCCGCCTCAGCATGGCTTGAGGAGCAGTGCTAGGTCTGCGCTCAGGATCTGAACTGGGGCTGGCCCGGTGGTGCAGCGGTTAAGTGCGCATGTTCCACTTCTCAGCGGCCCGGGGTTCACTGATTCGGATCCCGGGTGCGGACATGACACTGCTTGGCAAGCCATGCTGTGGCAGGTGTCCCACATTAAAGTAGAGGAAGATGAGCACAGATGTTAGCTCAGGGCCAGTCTTCCTCAGCAAAAAGAGAAAGATTGGCAGTAGTTAGCTCAGAGCTAATCTTCCTCAAAAAAAAAAATTAAAAAAAAAAAAAAGGATCCGAACTGGCAGAACCCTGGGCTGCTGAAACGGAGCAGGCAAACTCAACCACTTGGCCACTGGCCCGCCCCCTGGAATGCTTTTGTAAAAAACACAAATTTATGGCATTCACTTTCTTGGAGCTCTAGGGCAGTGGTTCTCAAAATTTTTGGTCTCAGGACCTCTTAAAAATCATCAAGGACTCTAAAGAGCATTTGCTCATATGAGTTATAACTATATTTATTGTATTAGAACTTAAAACTGAGAAAAACTAAAACACAAGAATACACAAGCACCACAAGCACACATTTCATTAACTGTGAAGGCAATGTCAATACACACGAACTTCTGGAAAACTCCCATGTACATGTTTTAGAGAATGATGGTGAAATAGGTAAATAACATCTTAGTATTGTTATGAAAATAGTCTTGACCTCGCATACCCCTGGAAATAGTCTCAGGGACCTCTGGGGCAGGAACCACACTTGGAGAACCCGTGTTCTAGAGATCAAATCCACTCTTCTTGCCTTGGCCTCCGCCTCTCCCGCGCTGGATCAACTGCTTACCTCTCCACCCCACCTAGTGCCCTCTGGCCCTCTTCTCAGTGCCCTCACATCGACGGCTATGCCTTTCCTTTCCTTCACTGGCCTCCCGCCCTCCCCGGGGCCCAGTGCTCTGTTCCCTCTGCCTGCTCCACCCTCGCCCTCCCCGGGGCCCAGTGCTCTGTTCCCTCTGCCTGCTCCACCCTCGCCCTCCCTGGGCTCCAGATCAGGTGAGCCTCGCCATTCCCCTCAGACCGCCGCGTGCCCCTCTTGTGCGGCTCACCACGGCTGTGTTTAAGTGACTGCGCCAGTCCTTCCTAAATGCCTGTCTCTTGTCCCGGACTGTCGGCCCCTCGAAGGCAAGGACCGGCCTGTCTGTCCACTGCTGTAGGCCCCGCGCCGCACACGCCTGGCGCCCACTGGAGGGCGCTCAACATAAGAAATTGGAGTCTTTCGTCCTAAGTCTTCAATAACAGGTGTTGGATCAAATGACTATGGGACGAAGGAAGCGGCGGCTCGGCTTAGGGACTTCTGAGGAGCAGGACGGTCGCCCAGACCGACGCGGGGAGCGGGTCTAACATGTGGGAATAAAGTTGTGTTCCAGTGCTTCCAATGGGATGTGTCATTCTACCCCGGTTTCCCCTGTCCAAGCGCAGTGGCTCTTCCAATCACCTCTGGTGCCTTCCAGTCACCCCGACCTCTCAAACGCCTTGGCGACACCCAACGCCCCTTCAAAACAGTTGGGGGTCGGGCGCCACCCATGCTGAACAGGACCCCTCCAGCGGCAGGCTCTCGAGGGGAGGATCGCCCGGGAGCCGAGATCCCGGCCTGGAGCCGGAAACCCCGGAGCGCCGACTCTGGAGCCGGATGCGGCGGCTTCCTGCTCCGCCCCCTTACGAGAGGGCGGCCACCCAGGGCTCTTCGGAAAACCCGGAGTGGATTTCCGTCCGCTGCACGCGTGGGTGGGGGTGCGGACTGTAACCCTGTGGGTGGAGGAATGGGTCTCTCCTCGCCTGAAACGCTGCCAGCGGGAGTTCTCGCCATGACGTTGTGTGGGGCAGGGGAATGTCAAACTCTGCTCTTGCCCTCCCCTGGGGGCTGAAGACTGGAATCTTTATCCCAATACAGTGCGGCGCGACGTGGGCTCCAGGATCCCGGAATGGAGGGGGCCTGAGCACAGCGGAGCTGGGACCCGGGCTCCTGGGTCCCGGCCCCTGGGCGTCCAGCGCTCCCCTAGTCCGCGGCCCTGGCTCCTGTCCTCACTTCCTTCCCTTTTTGGCTCCCGCTCTCGGAGCGGGCGGACGTGGGGGGAGCGGAAAGGGCGGGAGGGCCCGGGAGCCTTGCGGGGGGGTACAGGGGGTTGCGGAAAAGCCGGGGAAAGGACTTGGTCCGGGGACTCGGTCAGGGGCCGGAGACCGACGGGAACAGCGGCCCGGGACCCGCGCTACCCCCACCCCTCCCGAGCAGGTCAGAGCCAGAGCACCCTATGACCCTGCCCATTGCCGTACTCGTGACCCCCTCATCCCCAAAATGCAAAGAGGACCTATTCTACCCCTGTGTCGCCCCCCGCCCCCGCCCCCGCCTCCCTGCGGGACTCCCATCCGGTTACCTAGACACTCACCCGCGTCCCTCCCCTCTTGGCTCCCCCGCGCCCACCTGACTCTCCACCTGCCCCCCCTACTGTCTCTCCCCAGGCGCCCCCATGGCCCGACCCCGCTGATTCCTTCACTCGGCCATGCTCCCGCGGCCCCTGCGGCTGCTTTGGGACACGAGCCCCCCCGGGGGAGTCGTGCTGAGCAGCTTCCGGAGTCGAGACCCCGAAGAGGGTGGGGGCCCAGGTGGCCGGGGCGTGGGCGGGGGGCAGGAGGAAGAGGAGGAGGAGGAAGAAGACGAGGTGAGATGCGGGTGGTGGGAGGTAGTGGGTATGTATTTCGGAGACTCTCCACCTTTTCTCTCCGTGTTTCTGTGTCCCTCCGTCTCTTCCTGTCTGTCTCAGTTATTTCCGCGCCTCCTGCTGGGTGTCTGCCCGTCTCCCCGCTGCCGGGAGTCCCGGCGTTTCTGTGGTTCTCTGTGGCACTGTGACTCAGGACCTGCCCGCAGGAACCTGCCCTGTTACTGTCTGGAGCGTCTGGCTGGCTGGCTCTCCTGCGGGTCTCTGGCCCTCTCCGCCTGTGCCTGAGCGTGCCTGCCTCTCTGGGCATTGTGTCTTGGTCCCTGTCTCCCCTTGTTTTTGTTTGGCGGGGAGGGGTTTGTTTCCACAGTAACCGGCTCCTCTGACTCTGGGATTGGGGAGGGAACCCTTCGATTTCGTGACCCCTCCCCCATTTCCCGCCTGGCGCTGGGCGGAGGCGGGAAGCCAGGGTTCTTGGACCTCGAGGGACGATCCCAGGTTGAGTGGGTGGTGGTCACCTGCTTTCCTCCGGGACTAATGGTGGTGGCCAGGAGCAGGTTTGGGGGCCTCAGGAGCGGCCAGAAGTTGGATTTGGGGCCCCGGGCCCTGGACTCCTGGGTCTAGGGGCTGGGTGAGGTCAGGGTGACTGGCAGGGCTGGTTTTTCGGGATCGGCTGGGGGAGGGGCCGGGGCCATGTGACTCTGTGAGTCTACCCCCCCACATCATCCTCACTTCCCCTTCTCCTGCCTGTACCGGGATCGGAGCCGCCACCTTGAGGGGGTCTCCAGGGCTGAGGGGCCAGGGGGAAGGGGGCTAAGGGGAAGGACCCCCTCTTTGAGCTTGGCCAGTTCCTGCGGGGGAGGGCGGAGCATGCGGCTGTGCCCGTGACTGAGGTTTCAGCTTCTCAAGGTCTCTGCCTCTGCCTGTCTCCCTCTCTTGCTTCCCTCTCCTCTCCTTTGCACCTTACTTTTCTGCTGCGTTGGGTTCAGCTCTGGGGGGAAAGGGCTTCGGCAATCTCCAGGATCAGGGTTCCTGCATTCCATCCACTCCCCCACTGCAACCCCCCCGACTCCACCGGGCCCTGAGGCGGCTTGGGGGGGGCTGCTTGGGCCCCAGTGGGGGAGACCTGGGGTCACCAGCCCCCCCCACCCCTCGCACTCGCTGGTACTGTCCCCCGCCACCACAGGTGAGGGGTACAGAGGGAGGAGTAGAGCCTGGGGATAAGGGCTGGGGGCAATGGGGGGTGGTGTGGGACTATCTGACTTCCCCTTCCTTGCTCCTCCAGGCCCCTGTGTCTGTCTGGGATGAGGAGGAGGATGGTGCCATCTTTACTGTCACAAGCCGCCAGTATCAGCTTCTTGATCCCTTGGTGAGATCATAACTTTGGCTTCTCACCTCTAACCCATCACTTCCCAGTTCCCCTTCCCCTGGTCGACTTTCTGGCCAGAGTGCTAGGTTGAAAGTCTGGAGACCTAGACTTTGCTGTATGATTTGGGTCAAGATTTTTGCCCTCTCTGAATCTTAATATAATGAGCCTAGATCATCTCCTAGGTCTGGGATTTTCCCCAGAGATCTAGGGGCAGAGTTGAAGTTTAAAGGTGAGTGACTGGTCCTCTCTCCCCCACCAGGCCCCAACGCCTCCCCCGCGTTCCTCCCGAAGGCTCCGAGCTGGCACTCTGGAGGCCCTGGTCAGACACCTGCTGGATGCCCGGACATCAGGGGCTGATGTGACCTTCACATCAGCCTTTCTGGCCACCCACCGGGCCTTCACCTCCACACCTGCCCTGCTTGGACTTGTGGCTGACAGGTCAGGGTCATAATGGTCCAAGGGTCATGGAGGTGTCTGCATTTTCTAAAGCCAGAAAATCCCACCCAAATAGTCAAAGCCACTGAGGGTTTGGAAAAAATAGACAGATAGAATCTCTTGCCCTCCCCAGACTGGAGGCCCTTGAATCTCATCCTACTGATGAACTAGAGAGGACTAAAGGGTGAGTGAGCCCTCATAACCTCACAGCCCGTCTGCCCGAGCTGCTCCTTGACGGCTGACCCCTGGATTCTCCTTCTCCCAGGGTAGCCATCTCTGTACTGTCAACCTGGCTGGCCTCTCACCCTGAGGATTTTGGCTCTGAGGTCAAGGGTCAGCTTGACCGGCTTGAGGGCTTCTTGCTTCGTACAGGGTATGCAGCAGGGGAGGGTGTTGGGGGGGGCAGCGCTGACCTCATCCGCAACCTCCGGTCCCGGGTGGCCCTCCAGGCCTCCGACCTTCCTAAGCCCCTGGCCCTCCCCGGCGATTCCCCTGCTGACCCCACGGATGTCCTGGTGTTCCTCGCTGACCACTTGGCCGAACAGCTGACCCTGCTAGATGCGGTGAGACCCTGACCTCTGACCCCTATGCCCCTGGCCCCTTTACTAACCTTCCCTGACTCCAGATCCTTTCCTTGCTTCCAGCCCTTCCCTACCCAGCTCCCAGCCTCCTCTGTCCACCTAGTTTTGACCTTTCCCTATTTCCCCTTGGTTGTTTCCCTCAAGCCCTGTGCCCCTCTGGTTCCTTGGCTACCTGAGATCCCTACACCCCTGGTACTGGAAGGCTGACCTCACTTGACTATGAACTTTAACCTCCAACCTCTGCCCGGCAGGAGCTGTTTCTCAATCTGGTCCCCTCTCAGTGCCTGGGGAGCTTGTGGGGGCACAGAGACCGGCCAGGACATTCCCACCTCTGCCCATCTGTCCGAGCTACTGTCACACAGTTCAATAAGGTGGCAGGGGCAGTGGTCAGTTCTGTCCTGGGGGCTACCTCAATTGGAGAGGGGCCTGGAGAGGTGACCGTACGGCCACTCCGTCCCCCTCAGAGGGCCCGGCTCCTGGAGAAGTGGATCCGCGTGGCAGAGGTAAGAGAGAGGATCGGCCCTGATGGGGACTGTGGTGTGGAGAGAGGTCCCACAGCTATGGCCTCCCTCTGTGACCCCCACAGGAGTGCCGTCTGCTCCGAAACTTCTCTTCGGTTTATGCTGTTATATCGGCCCTGCAGTCCAGCCCCATCCACAGGCTTCGGGCAGCCTGGGGGGAAGCAGCCAGGTGGGGAGGATGGGGCACTGGACCGGGGGCAGGCTGGGAAGGGGTGGGCAAGCCAGGCCCATCCTCAAGACTGCTGCCCTCCATCCCCCAGGGACAGTCTCAGAGTCTTCTCTAGCCTTTGCCAGATTTTCTCTGAGGAGGATAACTATTCCCAGAGCCGGGAGCTACTCCTGCAGGTAAGGCCCTATTCCCTGGCGTTCCCAGCCATCCCTGCTCTCCCCGCCCCACTCGCATATCCCCTTGTTCTGTCACCACCAGGAGGTGAAGCTGCAGCCCTCGCTGGAGCCAAATTCCAAGAAAGCCCCGAGGTCTGGCTCCCGGGGTGGGGTGAGTGACTAGTGGGGGTTGGTCATGGAGTGTGTGGGGGAAGCAGCCTGAGGGATGGAAAGGGGAGGCCCAGTGGGTGAGGAGAATTAAGTTTGTCCTCTGAGGCAATGGGATAGGAAAGTAGAGGGATGGAGAGCCCTCAGATCTGTGGTAGGTGTGTCTGACTCTGATCTCTGACCTCAGGGTGTGGTCCCATACCTTGGCACCTTCTTGAAGGACCTCGTGATGCTGGATGCAGCCTCCAAGGATGAGCTGGAGGTCAGTGGTGTGTGTGTTTGTGTGTGCATTGCAATGATGGAACAAGTGGACCTCAGGGTCACACAGCTGTCCCTCCAGAAAGGGGCTGCAAGGCGTGCCTAAGCCCTTAAGCACTGAGGGCCAGGACCCTGGAACCAACCAGATTGCTGGGTTCTGGTTCTGTTGCTTTGGCAAGTTGCTTAACCTCTTTGTGCCTTAGTGATCTGTAAATGGGAAACTAGTGACAGTATCTACATCAGCTCGTTATTATGAGGGTTAAATGAATTAACATTTGGCGAGTACCTTACCTGAAATGTAAGCATATGTAGTTTGTTAAATACACAAATACTGGGACCTGGGGCAAATTCCTTATCCTCTCGGAGCCTTAATTTTCTCATCTGTGAAGTGGACACAGTGATGTTCAATGTAAAGGGTAAGGTAGAGTGCTTAGGCCATGAGAGACAGGAGGGGAAGGAGGGGGCGGGATGGAGGAGTCAAGAGGCCGAGGGAAGTGTGTATGAGTTGGATGTGGATGTGGTGTTTGGGAGAGGGGCCATGGTCTCTGTGTGGCAGGGTTGGGACTCTCACCCGATCCCCCTTATCTTTGCAGAATGGATACATCAATTTTGACAAGCGGAGGAAGGTGAGGGGAGTGATGGGTGGGATGCTAGACACCCCTAGCTGTGTCCCAGAAAGGGAAGAGGGAGGGGAAAGTCAGGGCTCCCTGAGTTTTGGCTCCTGCAGTCTGAAGTCTCCTTCTTAGGAGTTTGCTGTCCTTTCTGAGCTGCGGCGGCTCCAGAATGAATGTCGTGGCTATGACCTCCGACCTGACCCTGATATCCAGCAGTGGCTACAGGGGCTCCGGTCACTGACAGAGGCCCAGAGGTGACTGGCTGGGTGAGGTTGAGACTCCAGGGCTCAGGCTGGGTGTGAGGGTCAGTGTGTCATGTCCTAATCTCTGGCCATTGCCCCCCTCCTCAGCCATCGTGTGTCCTGTGAGGTGGAGCCATCTGGTACCAGTGACCCTCCTGCCCCACGGGTGCTTCGGCCAATGCTGGTCGTCTCACAGTGGACAGAGTGAGAGAGTCAGCGGTTGGGGGGCAAGTCTCCAAGAGACTTGCCCTTCTTCCTCTGACCTTCCCAATCTCCTGCCACTCCAGGGTTCTGGGTTCTGTTGGGGGTCCCACCCCCCTGGTCTCCTGGGACCGGCCCAGTGTCGGAGGAGATGAGGTGCCTGGAACCCCTGCTCCTCTGCTGACCCGGCTAGCCCAGGTGAGCTCTGTTCTTGACCTCTGACCTCAACACTCACCCTGACTCTGTGAATGTTTCTTCCTTGACCTCCCTGCCTTCACGCCAGTTCCCCATGTTGTTTGTCCCCAGCACATGAAGTGGCCGTCTGTCTCGTCTCTGGACACTGCCCTGGAAAGCACTCCATCCCTGCACAGTCCAGCTGACCCCAGCCACCTCTCTCCCCCAGCCTCCTCCCCTAGGCCTTCTCGAGGTCACCGCCGCTCAGCCTCCTGTGGCTCCCCGCTCAGCGGGGGTACAGAAGGGGCCTCCAGGGGGACCGGAGACGGGGCAGGGGGGTCTGGGTCAGGAGCCTCTGATTGCCGAATCATCCGCGTCCAAATGGAGCTGGGGGAAGATGGCAGTGTCTACAAGAGCATTTTGGTGAGGGATCCCTGGGCTGGGAGGTGGGGGTGAAGGATGGTGCCTTGTGGGATGATAGATGTTGTCTAAGGTTTGAACAGCCAAATGGGAGGATGATTGTAGTTTTAATTCTGACCTTTGGTTTTCACAGCCCTGTTTGATTTTGAAGGCTACTTTGCATTAGCTGCTGCACCTTGAACTTTTGGTGGCCATATTAGGTTTTCCTAACCAACAGCAGTTGCCCACAGGGAAGCAGCCCTGTTTCACTGGGCACCATGTGGGCTGGCCTGTGGAGTACGGAGAGCCACCACATTGGGTTTCCCTGTTCACTCTGAAGTGCTGGACATGGGTAACCTTTTTTGGTTGGGATCAGTAGCTAGGGTTGAAAGGATGGGAAATAGAGGTCATCATGGCCAATTTATTGCTCTTTTGGTCTCCTGTGGTGCCAGGTGACAAGCCAGGACAAGGCTCCAAGTGTCATCAGTCGTGTCCTTAAGAAAAACAATCGTGATTCTGCGGTGGCTTCGGAGTATGAGCTAGTGCAGCTGCTACCAGGGGAGCGAGGTCAGAGGCCGTGAGGGGAGGCAGACTCAGGAGAGTGGTGGCCCCAGTGGGAGAGCTTCCACATCCGGGTGGTTTTTGGGGGAATGACTGTGTTTGTGCTTGACACCCCCTCTCTGAACCTACAGAGCTGACCATCCCACCCTCGGCTAATGTCTTCTATGCTATGGATGGAGCTTCACACGATTTCCTCCTGCGGCAGCGGCGAAGGCCCTCGGCCGCTACACTGGGCCTCACCAGCAGTCCCTCTGCCTCAGGAACTCCCCCAAGCGAGGGACGAGGGGGCTCCTTTCCCAGGATCAAGGCCAAAGGGAGGAAGATCGCCCGGGCACTGTTCTGAGGAGGAAGCCCTCTTGGCTCACAAAACTCATGGTGGCCACACCAGATGTGGGTAGCCATCCTGAATGGTGGCAGTTATGTCGCACTGGGAAAAAATCCAGAAAGGTAGCTAACCACCCTGGGGCAGTGAAGTGCTGCTAATTTACCAGACACATGAGAGCCAGCCCTGTAGGAACTGGTAATCTCGGTAACCAGGTTGGACACCTGTGTATAGCTCCCCACTTTCCATGAATGCAGCACACGGCTAGTGCTGGGGAAAGGGATCATTTTCTGATTCCTAGCCATATTCTAGCATGCCAGGGCCAAGGAAAGGCCTAGAAGTAAGGGGAGAGGAAAAGCCTAGAGGCTCTGAGCTCTGGGGAGGAGATGGCACAAAGCAGGTTCTACTAGGAATTCTTTGTCCTACTCTGGGGGATCCTGTCACTGTGACACTAAGATAATAAACCAAAACACTACCTGAATTCCACTCCCCTGTCCTTGCAGTGTGTGGGAACTAGCTGCTGGGAGTGAGGGTGGGGAGCTGGCTGAAGGCAGACACCATGGAACAAGAAGGGGCCCAGTGTTTTCTATCCCCACGAAGAGCTGAAAGTGAGCTGCTAGGGAAAATGGTTTCCTCACAATGGCTTATTTCTCCACCCCTGGTCCCTTTCTTTGCTCTTAAATTTTTCTCCTCAGTTGTCAGAGACCCATGTCAACTAGCAGCCACCCAATTAAAGTGATCAGTGTGAAGACCTCCCCTGGCTGCAAGTTTCTAAGAAACAAATTAAGACAAAGAAATGGAAGAACAACTTTGTGGACAATGTACAAACTTGGAGAACTTAAAACATCACAAAACATTATGTTTTGGGATTTTAAGTCAGTTTAAACTATCTTCAAACAAATTCTGGGAAGAGAGAGGTTTAAAAGGATTAAGAGGGATGCCAGGGCTACCTGGGGGATGACAAGCAATCATAGCAAAAAGGATCACCGCAGTTTACCCTGGGGTCTCAGGTAGACAACTGTAAGTTCTTCAATTAAACTGCCCTTTCCAACAATTGTTACATTGTAAATGCCCTTCTCATATTTCCTAAAGAGGAGTGCCAACCAATATAAGTGGGAGTTAACGGTTGTACATACAGGCAAGTAGTAGGTTTGAAACATTTCAAATTTTAGTCTCGAGAAAGAAGGATTCCTCTGCCATAGAAAGATTGCAGTTCCAAAAATCTGGACCTGAGGGAGTAATGTAGGTGATGTACATATACAGTGGAAAGGGCCAGGGGAATGGATGGAGACAATTACAACAGAAGTGGCTGGTCAGAAAACAGCCAGGGGTTTTCACATTTTATTAGCTACGGTATAGACCCTAGAGCTGCCTCATTCCCTCCCCTCCCCTTCCCCCCACCACGGGGTCAGGCCTTCCCAGGAGCCCCTGCCTTTGCCGCCTGGGCCCGCTGGAACTCCTGCTGCAGCTGAGCAAGGGTCTCCCTCTGTTGCTCTGACTGCCGCTCAAGGTCTCGGAGCTGGGATTCGTATCGTTTACTGAGGACAGGCAAGAGAGACAAAGAAACAAGGAGAAATGAGTGAGAGTTACTACTGAGGGTGCTGAAGGCAAGAAAGAGATTGGTGGAACACTTGAGATCTAGGGGAGGGAGGAGAAGGGGGTTAAAAGGGAAGGGGTTGGAGGAACCGGACAACTGGGGGCTACTCTGGAGAGCTACTCTACATGGCTCCTCAACACCTCTACTCCAGCGGTGTCACCTGCGCCACAGGGCAGTGGAGCAAGGACTCACATTTCAGCTGTGATGTAGTCCAGCCTCTTCCCCACTGTGGCCCGAGCCTCCCCCAGCTCCTGTTTGACCAGCACTGGACCCAGAAGTTTAAAGACCACGTTGGACCCATCCAGTAGGGCCAGTTCCTAATGGAGGAATGGGATATATATGATCAGAATCATTGCCAGGACAGGTCCCTCCTCGACCCACAAATCCCAGTTTCTCACCTCCTTCACGATATTATTTTCTGTTAGCTGCGCCTCAAGCTTCTGCCGCCCTGACATAGATTTACTCAAGTCTGGGGGTGGAAGAAAGGAGTTGATGAGAGACATCAAATGTGCCACTCGACACCCCCCCACACGCACACACCCCGCCCCACAATCCTGGTCAGAAGAAAACGGAGCTGAGGAAGTGGACAAGGATGGAGGCCGCGGTCAGTGGGCGGGAAAGGGGCTGCACGCTGGGGCCTGGGTGCGGCAGAAAACATCCTGGTTTGGGTTCTGAGTCAGTGAGGCGACTGGGGCGAGGCTACACCGACCCTGCTCCCTTACCCTTCTGTAGCTGTTGGTATTTCTCCACTTCTCCCTGCAGCTTCTTCTGGATCAGCTCAGCCATGGCGGGGACGGAAACCTGCGGGGAGCGGGCGAGGGGCGCTGGGTCGCACACTCTGGAAGGCGCCCTAGCTCCCCTTTCTGGCCTGGCCTGCGGAAATGACAGCGCTCTTGAGAGGCAGCCTCTCGGGTCACCGCAGCCTCTCCGCGTCACGGATACGGACTCTGCCTCGGCCCCAGACGGTTGCGGGCGAAACGAGACCCCAAACCCCTCAACCAACACGCTACGCTACTCACGTTCTCCCTTCAGTATTAATAAACCCGGAAGTAAACAAAGACTGCTGGGAAAAGACGGCGCCGGAAGCTGTCGTCTGACGCATGCCGGGAACTGTAGTTTTGACGTGTTTAAAGAGTGGTGTTCTGCTAAAAAGACTGGCCTCGGAAGGTTTTAGGCAAGATGGGGAAATGAAGCTGGAAAAAGAAACTGCTCCGTTCCTTGGGTCCTGGCCCCGGACTTGCCTTTCTTTCATTACTCAGGCAAAAGCTGCCGCCCCCAGAGGGCGGCGCCAAGGCTGTCCCGCCCCTCCACAGAGAGCGCGCCCTCACTCAAGATGGCGCCTGGAAGGCTTCAGACCTGGTGCGTGCTGATTGGATGAGGGCCAGAGGACTTCCGGGAGTTCCCAAGCCGACTGTGGGACAGCTGAGAGGAGTTTGCACGTGGATGGTGGTTGGGGTGGGCTGGATGGAGACGGCCCCCAAGCCGGGCAGGGATGTCCCGCCCAAGAACGTCAAATTTCAGTCCAAGAAGAAGGTAGAGGCCTCCCTGGGGTGGAAGGGAAGTTTTTAACTGCGGGGTTGGAGGGGCGGGGCGCGGGCAGCGGAGTATCAGGGCTCCTGATCTGCCGGTAGAAACCGCGGCGATACTGGGAGGAAGAGACCACTCCGACAGCTGGCGCAGCCTCTCCAGGGCCCCCTGGTAACAAGAAGAGGAATCGAGAGCTCCGCCCCCAAAGGTCCAAGAAGGCTTACATCCCGAAGAAGTCTCGGATCTCCAAGAAGCCCCAACTCCCGAAGAAACCCCGAGAACGGAGGAATCCGGAGCCTGAGCGGAGTTTGTCCGGGGTGAGCCTGGGACCTGATATGGTGTGGGGGCAAGTGCTTTGAGGGTGCGAGTGTTGGGGTCAACCCGAGCCTGTCTGTTAATTGCCTCCTCACTGCCCCAGGCGCAGGACCCATTTCCAGGCCCCGCTCCCGTCCCTTTGGAGTTGGCTCAGAAGTTCTGTCGCATTGACAAATCCAAAAAGGTGAGGACCAGCCGGAGAGTAGGGAGGGGTTGCAGGCTGAGAGTGTCTGGGTGAGTTGGATGGAGGTGGGGCCAGGTGGCTCTCTTGTGCCTTCACATATTCTCTGGTTTGTCTCGCTCTCCTCTACCACCAACGATGTTATAGCTGCCACATTCTAAGTCCAAAACCCGAAGCCGACTTGAGGTGGCTGAAGCTGAGGAAGAGGAAATAAGTGTCAAAGCTGCTCGTTCTGAGCTGCTGCTTGCTGAGGAACCTGGGTAAGTGGACCCTAATGTGGGGCTCCCCAGCCTCTGCTTTATGGGACTCTCCTTTCTCATTTTTATGTTGGTACACTGACTTCATATTAGGAAGCTTTACTGCAACCCTAACACTCACTTGCAGCTTTCTGGAAGGGGAGGATGGGGAGGACACAGCAAAGATACGCCAGGCAGACATCGTGGAGGCTGTGGACATTGCAAGTGCAGCCAAGGTGAGCCTGAGGGTGGAAAGGGGGCCAATGAGTTGATTGGTGGTGCAGAGCAAGATGGAAGTGGGGACTAGAAGAGGGAATTACTGAAAGGAGCCAATTCTTTCATGATTTTTTTTTTTTAACTCTTTACTTTCCCAGCATTTTGACTTGAACTTGAGACAGTTTGGACCCTACAGGTTGAATTACTCTCGAACTGGGAGGTAAGGTTGCATTCCAGTGACTCTGGAACTAGGACATAGGCCTGTCTCCTCGTCACTTCAGCCATGCCCGCCTCAGCCACACCACCGTGTGTTTGGAGTGGGGCAGCTCCTGGGATTTGCTCACCTGTGAGAGTGAGCTTGTACAACACCTTTCCTCTCACCTGGGGAGGAGGGGCTGGCCTGGGGCAGACCTCAACAGGTCTGAGTCAGGCGCTCCCCTGCACTGACACCCTGCCTGTCCCTCACCTCCAACAGGCACCTGGCTTTTGGAGGGCGCCGGGGTCATGTGGCCGCCCTTGACTGGGTGACAAAGAAGCTCATGTGTGAGATCAATGTCATGGAAGCTGTGCGGGACATCCGGTCAGTGGGAGTGAGACAGCCCATCCCTGATTGAGTGACAGCCCATGACCCCCTTTCCCACTGAACCGTTCGTGCCCTCCTCCCAGGTTTCTGCACTCAGAGGCACTGCTTGCTGTCGCTCAGAACCGCTGGCTTCACATCTACGACAACCAGGGCATCGAGCTCCACTGCATCCGCCGCTGTGACCGCATCACTCGACTTGAGTTCCTGCCTTTCCACTTCCTCCTGGCCACAGCTGTGAGTGGCTGAGGAGCACAGGGACGAGGTGGCAGCTCCTGAGAAGACCGCCCCTCCTCTGGGATCATGGCAGAGGGAGGACAGAGGGCAATCGGGACTCATTCTCTCTCTCTCCCTCTTATAGTCGGAGACGGGGTTTCTGACCTACCTGGATGTGTCAGTGGGAAAGATCGTGGCAGCTCTGAATGCTCGGGCTGGACGGCTCGACGTCATGACTCAGAACCCTTACAATGCCGTCATCCATCTCGGACACAGCAATGGTCTGTCCCTGGCTGGGCTTTGACTCTGACTATCCTGACGTGCTTTGTTCTATATTGTACTTCACCAATACTTTACTTCCCTCTCTTGTTACCTCTTGGCCTTGAGTCCCCATTTTCCCCAGGTTTAATCACCTCAGTGCCCTATTAGTAACTTCAGCTCTCTTCGTCTGACTTCCAGGTACTGTGTCCTTATGGAGTCCAGCCGTGAAGGAGCCACTGGCGAAGATTCTCTGTCACCGTGGTGGGGTCCGGGCTGTGGCTGTAGATTCTACAGGCACGTAAGTCACTTGTTTGGTCATGAGGTGCTGGGGTCACAGCTGGGCAGAAAGGCGTAGAAGTCAGTGTGCCTTCAGCAGCACAGACTCTGCAGCCAGGCTGCCTAGATAAATCCTGATGTTACCATTGACCAGCCATGTAAGTGTGGGCAAGTTACATAACCTCTCTGTGCCACATCTTCCTCACCCTGAGAGTGGGGACATGAGTGTCTAGCTCAGCAAACTTTTTCTGTAAAGGGCCAGGTGGTAAATATTTTAGGCTTTGCTGGCCAAGAGGCAAAATCAAGCGTATTATGTAAGTAGATAACAACAGAGAAAACAAAGCACAAATTTTTAAGCAACGAAATACAAAATATAATAATTTAATACAATATTTTTGTAGTACAGGTCTACAAACGGGAAGAATTAGATTCCTCTTTTTGAAGATAACATTTTGCTTAATTGAGGTTCAAAGTTAGTGTTCCAGATCACCAAACTCAATTGCAAATGTTTGTCTGTTAATGCTGATCTGTAGAGAGATTTTCTATATTTTATCTTTGGAAACATCTTTTCACACAGATAAATGATGAGATAGGTGGTCTGTGAGGTGCTCAAAATGCTGTCAAATTATAACCATGTCACCGAGACTTGTCGCATGCCAGGCAGCAGTGCGAAGCGATAAGACGCCATACACGGTGTCTATCTTGGCCACTTTACCGTCCTCTTATAATGCAAAAGCAGCCACAGAATAAGTAAAGGAAGGAATGTGGTTGTGTTCCAATAAAACTTTATTTGTGGACACTGAAAGTTGAGTTTTCTTTAATTTTCACATCTCACAATATTATTCTTTTGATTTTTTTCCAACTGCTTAAAACTTAGCTTATAGGCTGTTCAGAGATAGGTGGTGGGCGGCTTTGTTTGGCTCATGGGCTGTAGTCTGCCCAGCCCTGGGCTTAGCTCATAGAGCGCTGGTAGACATTAATTAAGGCACGGAGAGTTTAGTGTGGTGCCCGGAGAATAGGGAGCACCGTCTTTCATTCTCGTCCTCAGTGAAGATGATTGTGCTCTTTAGGTCTGGCTGGTGCCGTGAGGGGAGGGGTGGTGGGTCCGCTTTGAATCTCTGCTCTTCCTGAGAGAGTACTGGCATTTCCACAGCTGTTGTGATCCGTATGTATGTCTGGATCTGGCAGACTGTTTCCACACAAATTCCCATGTGTTTTCCTCTAACTCCTTTTATCTGTCAGGCATTCATTGGGCACCTGCTGCAGGCTGGGCTCTGCACTAAGGTTCTGGGGGTATAAGGATGCATTGCCATTGAGCCTGCCCTAGCGTGGTGTTTCACGCACTTTATTTACAAAAACAGGTGGCTCTGGTTTCCGGGAATCATTGGCCAGGTGATACATTAGTTTCTACTCGGTTGTCTTCTAGAACCCCAGACTGCATGTGTCCATCCCTGGATAGGTCACTTCTCTCCCAAAGTTCCTCCTTGCCTGCTCCCTTTCTGCCACATTTTCCTGTCACCTAAAATATGACTTTTTTAATACCTCTAGCTACTCCACCATGTGTTTTTCAGCCATCAGTAATAGCAGGAATCAAAAGCACCGATCACTGAGTGCGTTCTGGGTGTCCAGGCTCTGCTACTTGCTTTGGTGGCATCATTTCATGACTACTCATGACCCCTGTGATGTTCTGACTGTTGTTCCCCTCAAGGGTCCCTCCAAGTCTGCTCTCCATCCTTGCTGTCTCCATGGGCATGCATGATGCTCACAGCATTTCCAGCCTCCAGTTCTTCCTCCTGCCGTGTCCTGGGTGTGCTGCCAGAACAATCTTTTCCACAGCTGCTCTCCTCCTTATACACTGCTGCCCAGGCATCATCTGCATTAAGTATAAACTATAGAACTTTATTTTTAAGTGGTTTTAAGTAAAAACAGGAAAAGGAAAAGCCCAGTGGCCACCAACTTATGAAAGCCTGCCAGCCGCTCAGACCCCCTTGGCGTCCCATAGTTGTATCTTTGTGGACAAGTGGTTTGGTTCCGCCCTTTTAGTCCGTATCTGTGCCAGCGCGGTTCTGCTAGAGTAGGGAGGCCTGTCCCGAGGTTTTCTGCCCTCTGTGGGCCCTGGACCGAAGCTGTAGCTTGCCTTCCCCGGGCTGCCCGGGTCAGCTGCTCCTGTGCCCAGGGCTTAATCGGTTAGTCCACCGAGGTCTGGTCAACATCTTGATGC